TAACCCAAAAAGAAAAAAAAATCACAGAGTAACTCCTGAATGCAGAGCTAGGAGTCACTCCCTGAGCATCGCCCAGTATAACCCAAAAAGAAAAAAAAATCACAAATACATGAGAAAAATAGAAAACAAAAATATAAACAAAACCAAAGATAAAATAATAAGTTAATGTGCACAATACGTCAATAAGCACTCGAAACACAAATAGTCTATACTCTATGATAAAAAGACACAGAATGATTAGGTGGATAAAAAGAGCAGGATCTGAGGCTGGGGAAATGGCTCAAAAAGGCTGAAGCCCACACTTTGCATAAGTGAGGCCCTGGATTAATCCCCACAGCACAGAGTCCCCTGAATAGCCAGGAGTGATCCCTAAGCATGGAGCTCAAGGGTTATTCCTTGAAAACATGAACTCCTCCTGCAAATTTCAGGATCCATCTACACCTATTTTATATTCTATGCCGATAATTATCTCACTAAAGCATAAGGTCTAATGCAAGCTAATAGTGAAAGGCTAGAGAAGGTGTTCATAGCCAGTAATGAGAAAAAAAAAAGATGGAAAAATTACTATTCTCATATATGGTAAAAAGACTAAAGAGACTTTCAACGTAAAATAGATATTAAGAGATAAAGATGGGTAGTGTATATTGATCAAAGGGTCAATCCAGCAATAAGATAAATTGTTCACCAATATATATGACCCAGGAGGCGGGCTCTCAAATTATTAACACTCTTCATGGGCTACACTGACAGTAACATGGTTATAAGGAATCTCAACACACACATATACCAACATCATCCAGACAAAAAAAATGTTAATAAAGAATTAATGGAATTAAGTGAAACTTCTAAAGAGATGGCTTATTACTTAGCAATTTCAATTTTAAAAGAAATGAAATCACCTCCTCAAGTGCTTATGTAATTTTCTCAAGGATAGACCACATGTTGGTTGGAACACAAAAAAAGCTTTAATAAATATGTGAATATTAAACTAATACCAAGCAACTTTCCTGAATGTTATTATATGAGAAATCAACAACAAAATCAAAAAGACTGTCATGTACTTCTGAATTAATTCTTGTATCAATGAGGAAAAAAATTAAAGGAGAAATTTTAAAATTACCTAAATAATAATGAAAACAGACTGGTGAGTTTTCTGTCTTTATGGCACACAGAAAAAGCAGTATTAAAATGACATAATTATATTATTGAAAATCTTTCATTCACCACATTACATCAAACAAGAAAATCTTATGTAAACAATTTAATTTTAAATATGAAGGAACTAGAAAAGGAGAATGAAGTCAAAAGTCAACAGAAAGAAAAACATAGTAGGAATAAAATAACTGTAAAACAAAATACAGTGCAAAAATCAATGAAACCAAGAGTTGGTTCTCTGAAGGGATAAATAAAATTGATAACCTCCTTGCTAGACCGCGTGTGTGTGTGTGTGTGTGTGTGTGTGTGAGAGAGAGAGAGAGAGACAGAGACAGAGACAGAGACAGAGACAGAGACAGAGACAGAGAGAGACAGAGAGAAAGCTAGAGAGAAAAGGGATAAAGTTATAACTGATATTATAGCTATATAAAGTATCATGAGACGACTATGAATAGTTACGTGAAACTGGACAACCTAGAAGAAATGAACACATTTTTTTTAGTAACAAAGCCTTCCCATACTGAGCCAGAAGAAATAAAAAACTTAAATAGACTATAAACAAGTACAGAAAAAAAATGTTTAAATATAGGGGCCGGAGCAATAGTACAGTGTGTGGGGCATTTGTCTTGTGTGCTGTCAGCCTGGGTTTAATCCCCAAACCCCATATGGTCCCCTTAGCACTTCCAGTAATAATCAATCCCTGAGTGCAGAGCCAAGAGTAACCCCTGGGCACTACTGGAGTGACCTCCAAATCAAAGAAAAAATTGTAACCAAAAGTCTCCCTAAGAACAAAGGGCTTTATCTGCAAGTTCCACAAGATTTTCAAAGAAAAATGACTAAACATCTGAACATCCTGATCATACTCTTCAATAAAATTGAAGAGGAGTTAACACTCTCAAACATATTTTATGAAGCAAATATCCAGACAAAAGTATACACAAAAAATAAAATTATAGACACAGGGATGAATGGAGACATTACTGGGCCCGCTCGAACAAATCAATGAACAACAGGGTGATAATGATAGTGATAGTGATTAACATAGCGCAAAGCCCTCAACAATATTTTGGTATATCAAATTAAACAATATGTCTAGAAAATAATTTGCCATGACCTTTTTAACTCTTAAGAATTTTACCTTTGTAAATTGGGGGGGGGGGTTGTTTTTTGGTTTTTTGGCCACACTTGGTTTTGCTCAGGGCTTACTCCCGGTTCTACACTAAAAATTTTTAAATATTTAGAGGAATTTATATCAGGAATGCAAGAATGGTTCAACATATGCAACTCAATTAATGTAATACGCCGCATCAATAAAAGGAAAGATACAAATGACATGACCATATCAATAAACGCTGAAAAAGCCCTTGACAATATTCAGCAACCATTCATGTTTCTCAGTAAATTGAGAGAGACCTTATGTTGGAACATACTTAAACAAAATAGCACCCATATATGGGGACTGGGCAGATAGCTCAAATACAGAGCCACTACTAGCATGTGTGGGCCCTAACACCATGGTGGCCCTTATTATTTGAAAAAAATAAAGTCTATATAAGTCAAATATTGTATTCAATGTTAAACATGGAAAATATTTACTTTAAGATCTAGAGTTAAACAAGGCTGTCTTTTCTCACCACTAGTCTTCAATATGGTTTTTAGAAGTCTTCGCCAGAGCAATTAGACCAAAAAATGATATGAAAGGAATACAAGCTGGAAAGAATTAAAACTATTTCCAGAAGATATGATAATATTATATAGAAAACCCTAAAGATTACACACACACACACAAAACCCTACAAGAAATATATAATGAATTCAGTAAAGTAGGAGATACTAAATCAATACATCAAAATATAATGCATTTCTATATGCAAATAATTAGTTGATAGAAAGGGAACTTAAGAATACAATCTCAATTTAAAAAAAGAATGTAACTGGGGTTACACCTGCATCAAATCAAAGATAAAATTCTGGAGTAAGATTAATAAAGGGAGTAAAAACTAAAATAAATAAGATTGAAAAATTAAAAGAATTTTGTGCTCATGGGTTGGAAAAATAAACATAATTCAAATGGTCATCTCACCTAAACAATATGTAAATTTAATTCAATCCCTATAAAAATATCAGTAGTTTTATTTTTCAAGACAATCTATTAAAAAACTCTAAAAATTATAATTAACCAAAAAAATAAAACCCAAATAATCCCCAAAAAACTCTGAGAATAAAGAGAAAAATAGAGGCATTACACTCTCTTGACTTCAAATTGTAATTAAAAATAATAGTGATATTGTTAGTATTATATATTATGTAATAGTAATTATTCCCCTGTCTGTGACTATTTTTGTTAGAGTTATATTTTATTTATATTATTATTTTGTATTATAGTCACGCAGATCAGTGGAATAAAAGAAAGTCCAGCAATAAACCGATACATATATGTATGTGTGTGTATATTTATATATATATATGTACATACACACACATACATATATATGTGCTGTAGCATATAACCAGTGGAATACTATTCTGCCATTACAAAGATCCAGTCATACCTTTGGGGACAAAATAGTGTTTGAAATAAGTGAAATAAAGACATCAAGGACAATTATATGGCTTCACTCATACGAAATATGAATTACTGAAGCAAATTAACTGACAGGAAACAACAAAACGAGTTCTTATATTTAGTGAAAACTATGGTGGTTACGTGAGAGAAAGAGAAGAGGAAATGGGTAGAAGAGGCAGAGGGGCAGAATGGTGGTGTCATTGGGGGTGGGAGTGGTGTCAGTAACACACATGAAGAGGTGTGAAGCTAAAATCCTGAATTCTGTAGTATCAATGATGAATCAATGGAAAAATTTTAAAAGCAACCAAAAAGTCAATATACTAAATATATGATAGTTAAATATACCTAATAATGTTTATATATAAACTGGGTTATAGCACTGTCCTCCCGTTGTTCATCAATTTGCTTGAGCGGGCACCAGTAACGTCTCCATTGTGAGACTTGTTACTGTTTTTGGCGTATCAAACACACCACGGGGAGCTTGCTTGCTCTGCTGTGCGGGCAGGATACTCTCGGTAGCTTGCCGGCTCTCCGAGAGGGACGGAGGAACCGAACCCTGGTCGGCTGCGTGCACTAGAAAAACTTAACAAGCCTTAAAAGTCAATGTTTTTCTCTCCCCCAAATCTTGTATGCAAGGCAATCTTTGTCAAATACACCTTTGTGTATTTAACACAAATACTGTAACACTGTCCTCCCATTGTTCATCAAGTTGCTCTAGCAGGCCCAGTAACATCTCCATTGTGAGACTTGTTGTTACTGTGTTTGTCATATGGAATATGTCAGGGGTAGTTGCCAGGCTTTGCTGTGCAGGTGAGATACTCTCGGTAGCTTGCCAGATATAGCCCTCTCCGAGGGGGATGGAGGAATCGAACCCGGGTTGCCCAGGTCAGCCACGTGCAAGGCAAACGCCTTACCACTATGCTATCCCGGCCTTTTAGCTACAATCAAGTGTAATAACACAAATACAATCTTTGTTAAATAAAAGGGACCAGAGTAATGATAGTACAGCAGGGAGGGCCTTTGCCTTGCATGCGGACAGCTGGATTCCAGCCCTGGCATCCCATAAGTTTCCCCCAGCACTGCCAGGAGTAATTTTTGAGTGCAGAGCCAGGAATAAGCCCTCAGCATCACCGGGTGTGACCCAAAAAGAAAAAAAAAAAACTTACTCAACTATTTTTATTCAGCACAGAGGATAAGCAAAGTGCTACATTTTCATATTTTAAATCTTGCAGTTTCAAAAATAGGGTTCATATTTTGTCTGAATGCAATATTCACTTACGTTGACATTATATAAGGGTTGTTTTGGTGCATTAACTTCCCTGAGCAGACGACGAGATAATTCCATTAACTCGGAAACTCTGCAGGCAAGTTGAGGCTTCAGAAGTTTGGCCACTGATTTGGAAGATCTGGATATGCTGCTCAACCCTTGAATTAAGGTTCCTCTGTTGATCTTGGCTAATACGACGGACATTTTTACATTTGGTGGTTGTTGGATGGTGTCTCTTCTCTGGAAAATAAATCTTTGAAAAGTGACTGATATATTGATTCTCCAGGGCACTATTGTTACTGCTCTTCAGAGTACCTTGTAACTGTCATGCCTGATTCCACACATATAATCAGTCAGTGCCCAATAATTTTTTTCCCACTGCACAGACACTTAAATATTTATATAAATATTTTATTTTTCCTGAGAACAAATATTCAGAATCTATAGTGCAATCTTAAGGAGATATATTTTTTCATTTTTACCCCTGGGTGGCTTTTTGGCATTTATTTTAAGGAGCTCTTTCCAAAGTAAACAATTCTTGTTCACAAATAATTTGTGTCAGTTGGGGATATAGCTCATTGTTAAGAGTATTTTCCTCACATGTATGAGGTCTTGGTATTTGATCCTTGGCATACACACACATACACAGACACACAAAATCCCATAAATATTATTTAATGTTAGATTTATCCAAACAGTAATTTTTAAAAATTATAGATATTGTTTTACCTCAAAAAATTAAATAATAAAACATAGAAGGCATGCATAATATATACAAAATGCATTGTACAATTAAAAAATATCAGAAGATTAGTTGACAAGTTTAAGCAATTATTAATCTAAAAACTTCAAAATTTCAAAGAAGGGGCCCAGAGTGACAGTACAGAGGGTACAGGACTTGCAATGCCTGGCAGCTCAGATAGTCCCAAGTAGGGCAGAAGTAATCCCTGACTACAGAGCCAGGAATAAGCCTGAGCACCACCTACTATGGCCTTAAAACCAAAAGCCAAAACCAAAACCCCCCTTAAATTTTAAAGAAGCATTTTGGTAGGAAAAAATCATAGCATTACCCAAACACACAGGAGTGATGAATTTCTTTCTCTGCTCTGTTATAAAGTGAACCCCAGGGAAATAAATCACTTGTAATGTGGTTGGACTAATTGCATTCCATGGAACAGAAAAGCACAGTTCCTGCTATTCATTTAAGTAATTTTAGGTAATATTTTACATTTTTAGTGTATAGCATAAGGGAAAATATTGGTTAAGAACACCAATAATCAGTTTTGAATCTCCAAATATTTCTTCATTGACTTCTTTTGGGATTCTGATGACTAACTCTTCCTTCCATCCCTTTTTTCCCCTCTATCCTTTGCTTTACAAATTACCTCTACTTTGATACTGAACCTTTAAACACTGAAATTAGAGGCAGGTTGATTTTATCCTATGCCTTCATATTACTACAGTCTCATATACTATTTGATCACTTGATACCCCGTTATTCATCGATTTACTTGAGCGGGTGCCAGTAACATCTCCATTCATCCCTGTTGCGTGCTAGCATAGCCCAATGGCATCTGCTTGTTCTAGGAATGTGCAGAGCCTCAAACTGATTATTCAGGGTCTTGACGAAGAAGTCTGAACATCTTGTAGGTGGGCGTCCACGCGATCTTTTGACGTCCTGTGGAATCCAGTCAGCAATGGCTCTAGTCCAGCGGTCATCTGTAAACCTTATTACGTGTCCAGCCCATCTGATTTTTGATGCCTTGGCAAATGAGACAGCATCCCTGATTCTTGAGCGTTGACGGAGATCGGAACTCCGGATTCTATCTCTCATTTGAGTGAAGCATGATACTCCAAGCATAGTTCTTTCGATTCCTCTTTGAGAGACCCGAATAGCGTTCTCATCCTGTTTTCATAAGATCCAGGTCTCTGAGGCATATGTTAATGCAGGAAGAACAGTGGAATCGAAGAGATGTGCTCGTAGCTGGAGGTTCTTTGTCCTCTTAGCTATTTCTTCAACACTCTTGAAGGCATTCCAATCCGCTCTCTTCCTTCTGCATAACTCAGGTGCCAGGTCATTCATCATGTTGATTTCTTGACCTAGGTATATATAACTGTTGCATTCGGAGATGGTGGTTCCGTTGAGAGTGAATGGAGCATCAGGAACAAGACTGTTTCTCATGAACATTGTCTTTTTGAGATTCAGATGTAGTCCGACCTTTCCACACTCACGGTCAAAGTCGGTCAGCATTTGTGCTGCTTGGTTGATGTTTGGTGTTATTAGAACGACGTCATCAGCAAAGCGGAGGTGGTGTAGTTGCCGAACATCTATCATCACTCCCATTCCTTCCCATTCCAGTTGTCGCATGATGTTCTCGAGGGTGGCACTGAAGAGTTTTGGTGAAATGGTATTACCCTGCCGAACCCCTCTCTTGACATGGATGATTACTTCTTTGTAGAATGGTGAGATCCTGGTAGTGAATCCGCAATACAGCTCACAGAGGATCCTGATGTATTGGGCTTGAACGCCCTGATTGGGTAGGGCTTTGATGACCGCTTCCGTCTCAACAGAATCAAAGGCCTTCTTTAAATCAATGAACGTTAGACAGAGCGGCATCTTGAACTCCTGAGAAACCTCAATGAGCTTAGTAATCGTGTGGATATTATCGATGGTACTGAATCCTTTTCGGAACCCGGCTTGTTCACATGGTTGTCCTTCATCTAGTGTTCTGCTAATCCTATTCAGGATGACTCAAGAGAACAGTTTGTAGATGACAGACAATAGGCAGATTGGGCGATAGTTGCCAATGTCGTGGTTGTCTCCCTTCTTGTATAGTAGTACAGTCTTGCTGGTTTTCCATTGGGATGGAACCTTGCATACCTTGCAGGTAGCGTGTGAAGAGCCGAGCCAGTGTATTGATGAGTATTGATGGTAAATTCTTCAGGTGTTCAGGTCTGACCTTGTCTGGGTCAGGTGCTCTTTGTTTTTTTACCGACAAGATGGCGTGTTGAATTTCGAAAGGGAGAACATTGGTAAGGACATATCCATCCTGCAGAATTTGGTATGTGGGCAAGTGGATGTGGCTATTAAAGAGATCCGAATAGAAGTCATGAATAATCTTCTCCATTGCCCTTCTGGAAGATGTGATAGATCCATCAGGATGTCGGAGGGCAGTCATCTTGGTCTTGTAGTTGGTGAAGGACAGGCGGGCATTACGAATGCTTTTCCCGGCTTCTGCTGCGTCTACCAGCACCGCTGCTCTCCTGTCTTTGAGGTCATCCTTGATCGCCTCTCTGCATTGTTTTGCCAGCTCGGACGTTCGCTTGCAGTTGTCTGAGGCATGTGCCAAGCCACGTTGGCGAATAAGTTCAAGAGTGTTTGAAGAAAGGCGTTTTTTTGTGGTTATCTCTCTCTCGGCATTCCTCGCACAATCATGGAGGTGCTGAATCATTCGATTGTATTCCTCATCATGCACTACAACTTTTTAATATATCTATATATTAGATATAGTATCTAGATATATAATAATAATAATAATTTAGATATATAGATATATAATACTGAAAGATATATAAATATATGAGTATATTTTTATATAAAATATATGCTCACATATATTTATATAATTATATCAATATTTAATTAAGAGATAATTTTATTAATAATTACTTTGTTTATAATCATAAAATATTTAAAAAAAAAAAAACTTCCCTCCCGTTGATCGTCGATTTGCTCGAGCGGGCCCAGTAACGTCTCCATTGGAGACTTTGTTGTTACTGTGTCCGGCATATCGAATACTCTCGGTAGCTTGCCGGGCTCTCCGAGAGGGGCAGAAACTATAGTTATATATATATAGCATTATACATATCTAGCACAAACTTCTCTTGGACTTCAAACCTCTTTATCAAATTTACAACTCAACACTATGGTTTTGAGAAAATGTGGCATACTCATGAAACTGTGGGAAATTAAAATTAATTATCTTCATCTCCAAATTACTTCATCTAATCTATCTCAGTTAATAGGATCACTATTCTTTCAGTTACCCAAGGAATCCAGTCTTTCTTAAGTCCTACTTAATTTTGCTTTCTTCTTTTTTTTGTAATCTGTTCATTATCCTCCCACTGTGCATCGATTTTGCTCGAGCGGGCCCAGTAACGTCTCCATTTTGAGACTTCTTGTTACTGTGTTTGGCATATCGAATACTCTCTGTAGCTTGCCGGGCTCTCCGAGAGGGGCGGAGGAATCGAACCCGGCTCGGCTGGGCTGGCTTGTGCAGGGCAATCACCCTACCACTGTGCTATCGCTCCAGCCCTAATTATTTATTATCCATAATTTTAAAAAAATTTTTATTTAAAAAATTTATTTATTGAATCACATTGACCTACAGTTACAAAGCTTTCATGTTTGAGTTTCAGTAATCGAACACTCATCCTTCCACCAGTGCACATTTTCCTCCACCAAAAACCCCCAAATAAGAAATCTGGCTTCAAAATATGCTAAATATCTTTTCTATCCAGCCCTTCCTTTCCATTCTCAATGTTGATATCCTTGTTCTTAACTGGTAGTTACCATAAAAATCTTACCAGGAGCTCAGTCCACATTCAGACTTCATTACCACTCTTCATTAAATACAAACTGAGCCAGGCACAAGCATGAGCACTGTCGGGTGGGGCCCCCAACTCCCCATACCCCAAAATTTAAAAAAAAAAATTAAATAAAAACAAACTGAACATTATTTCCATGTTAAAATCTTCCTGGTGACAAAAATCTAGCTTTGCTTGAAGGGTGGTTGGGAAAATTGGAGACAATGGTAGAGAGAAGCTGATAATGGTGCTGGGATTGGTGTTGGAAAATATTGCCTATAACAAATATTGCCTATAACAAAACTCAATAATGCCTATAACAAATCATCGTGAAAAGTTTGCAAACCACAGTGTTTACATAAAGTGTGGGGGGAAATTTACACAAGTAGGCCTTACCTAATATATGTAAACTCCAAAATATATTAGTACATAATTTCTTTAAAAGTTGGGGGCTGGAGCAATAGCACAGCAGGTAGGGCATTTGTCTTGCAGATAGCTGACCCGGGTTTAATTCCCAGCATCCCTTATGGTCCCCTGAGCACTGCCAGGAGTAATTCTTGAGTGCAGAGTGAAGAGTAACCCAAAAAGCAAAAGCAAAGTAAAAAACCCGTTTAATTAATATCAGGTAAGGCATGATTATTACCATAATGAGATCCAAATAGAAAATAAAATTTAATGAAATACAGTTTAGATTCCAGAGTTGAATGTAGCAATAATAAACATTCTATTATGTTGTATTGAAGGGTTTTATTTTTCTTATTTACATAGGTTAAAATCATATAGCAATCACAAATTGGCTCTTACTGATGTGTTTTCTGATCATTTTATTTGTCATTTCTTAAAGTTTTGTTGGAACAAGTAAAAGCAAAGTAAATTCGTTAAGTACCTAAAGGGACTTTGGTGGAGGGAAAGTCATACTTGTGGTGTTGGAACACCAAATGCCCCAAACAACTGTATAACGAACAACTTTGTAAGTCATGGTGTTTTTAATAAAAATACATTTTTTAAAATTTTACCTTGGGGGTGGGGGAAGGGGTGGGACAGGACCAGGGATCTTACCCAGGTCTCTTATACGTAAGGCATGTAATTTACCACTGAACGATATCAAATGAGCTATACAAAGATATCCATACTGTAACTTGTGCCTACATTTTCCAATCTTCAGTTAATTCCTGCCTCAACTCTTTCATGCTATTCATTCAAATTTACTTAATAGTCCGGGAACACACTCGGCTATTTAGTACTACTTTGGCCTGATACTCTTTCTCTTGGAATATTCGTTGCTGTTCCTATCAACTTGATTTATTTGTTCTTTTTTCATCTCGAAAACTACCATTCACCCTTTTAGACCCAAGTTAATCAACCTTCCATCATTCGTGAAGCCCTTTCTGATCATCCTAGGTAGAACCACTCATTCTTCAATATTGGATATAGCTCTGATCATATTCCAATGCAGTTACTGCTTACAACTCTGTTTTCATTGAGTGAGTGTTTAGACGAAAGGGATCCTGTTTGCTCCTCTCTGTATTCACTCTCTCCAGCACAGGGCAATAGGAAAGCACTGACGACGCCTCATATGACTAGATGTCTGAACACATCGTTAAGGGTAACTATAGACTTTGTGATTACTATGCTATGCAGAGTGCTTTTTTGTTTACCGACAGGTTTTAGTTCACATTTGGCATTGTCAGAAGTCTGTTTTCTGGGTAGTAGATTGTTACTCTTCTATGTAATTTTACAACCTCACAACACAACTCTTAGCTGTAGTCAAAAAGCCTGAAATGTTTTTTCATTAACAGCTGTATATTTCTTTTTTTTTCTTTTTTTTTTTATTAGTGAAACACCATGAGGTACAGTTGTAGATTTACAATTTTTTGTGCTTGGGTTTCAATTATACAATGATCAGATACCCATCCCTCCACCAGTGCCCATTTTTCACCACCATGGATAATGTCCCCCCCCACCCCCATCCCCCCATCCCCCCCGCCTCTGTGGCAGGGCAATCCCCTGTGTTCTCTCTCTCCTTTTGGGTGTTGTGGTCTGCAAAAGAGGCATTGAGTGGCAAACATGTTCAGTCCATAGTCCACTTTCAACATGCATCTCCCCTCCCTCCTGGGAGGGACCTCCAAACACCCTTTATTTGGTGTTCCCTTCTCTATCTGAGCTGCCCTTTCCTCTAGAATGCCCGACTGGCACTAAACTATGGAGTAATCCTCCTGGTGCTGATCTCAGCTATTCTTGGGTATTAATCTCCTATTTTGTTACTTTATATCCCCCAGATGAATGCAATCTTTCTATGTCTATCCCTCTCTTTCTGACTCATTTCGCTTAGCATGATACTTTCCATGTTGTACCACTTGTATATAAATTTCATGACTTCATCTTTTCTAAGAGCTACATAGTACTACATTGTGTAGATGTACCAAAGTTTCTTTAACCAGTCATCTGTTCTTGGGCACTCAGGTTTCTTCCAGTTTCTGGCTATGGTAAAGAGTACAGCTGTATATTTCTGAGTAAGATAGGTTCCATGACTGACACAACAAAGTCGTTATTTTTTTTCCTGGAAATATATTGTTTCAAAATTTTCTATCGATCCTCTCTTTAACCCTCAAGATTTTATCTGTCAAGCCCTTTTAGGATCTGAGTTTTAATATACATACATGTACACCGTGCTTAAGGTGATATCATTATTTCCTTCCACCAGTAAAACAGAGACCCATACACTTTTTATCTTTATACTTGTATAATTTACATCATTTATATTTTAGCACATACTTCAAATTATGCTTGTATGATTTTTCAGATTTAACATCATACAAACCTTAATATGCTATATAGTAATTATGCCCATAAAAGAGTTCCAGATTTCTAATGACATGGTGATTATCCTTAAAATTCATCTATCCATTCTCCTTCCTTGTCCATAATCTCTGCTTTTCATAGAGTCCTTCCCAATGAGTATTATTTGAAATTAGTCTGAGACGAAATGAATATTTTCCTAAGATTCAAATCCTGATCTCAAAATTTTAACATAGTTGGTATATTAAAAATATACTTGTGGCAATTATTTTCAAAGGTATGAAATCACTTCTTACCTTATTACTCTGCGATACTCTTAGAATGGTAGGGAATTCATCTTTAAACTCATCTATAAGGTCGATGATGACTCTCTGGATCCCTTTGACTAAAACAAACATAGAAGTTAGTAGGGGAGGGAAATGCTTAACTTAAAACATCCCTTCACCAAAATTCAGAAGATAGAACTCTAGGTCTGACATCTAGATTTTAGTCCGAGTAATCCCCCACAATAATATGCCCTTTAAAACAAGATGATGTATACTTCTTCCAGAAACGTTCATCAACACCTGCCCACATATCCACCCAATAGGCCTGGCTGACATGAAGAAATGATGCCTGGGTTCCTAGTGCTAGGCAAGCTTGCAATGCTTATCCTACTCTGCCATTAGTGAGAGATGAGAGCAGTCTTCCACCCAAGAAAGCAGACAAGCAGAGAACCTGCTGCTCCAGCTGGAATCCTTTGTTACTGCACAATGGGCCTCTGAGAACTTGTCACAGAATCTTCTGAAATCATTCCGGCAATGGCGACAAGAAGAGGAAGTGTGAGTTTAGGGGCATAGGAAAGGAAAAATATTTTTAAATGAATCACAATATGAAATTCTGCAATATAAACTGGATTATGTTGCATTTTCTGTAGTGATAAATTAATGGGCCACCTGAGAATAAAACTCCCCTTGCAATGGATTAGTATATGTTCTAATGCTTCTTCACATTGATGCCAAGTGAAAAAGAAACATGAGGTATTAGAAACTTATGAACAGACTGATTTTCCTTCATGAATCAGTAGTCAAACCCAGGCCAAAAATGTGCATTTTTTGGGGTCTTTTTCCATATTTTCTTAGTAGTACGGGAGATCAAGGCAGACACTACCACTGAACCTCATTGTGTGTGTGGGGGTGGGGGGGCGGAGGCTGGTGTATAAGCATTGTTTGTGATGTTGGCGATGAAACCTATGGTATTACTTCTTTGAATTTTGAGTTTTGGAGCCAGAGAAAGAGTACAGGGGTCTCGAGCTTGGCTTGCATGGTGCAAACCCAAGGTCAGTAGTTGGCACCACAGACAGCCCTAAGGCCCACCAGGAATGATCCCTGAGCACAGAGCCAGGATTAAAAGGCCTGAATATTGCTAGGTACTGCTCAAAGATTAAAAAAAAAATTAAAGAAATTAATGTTTTCCTGTTTTATCTTTCATTCCCTTCCCTTTCTCCAAGTACCCAGGTACTATTCGTCTTCAGATGACTATTATTTCCCCCTTAGGGAAGGGAAGAATTTCACAGACGTGATTCATTGCCTGGTTCTAGTCTAGTATGAATGAATTAAGCATTGACTTATGTAAAACTTTAATTTGAAACTTTTACATATAACTGTAGTTAGGTAATTTCTTCTTCTTTTTAAAATTTTGGCCCACACCTGAAGATGTTCCAGGGTTACTCCTGGCTCTATGCTCAGGAGTCACTTCCGGTGGTGCTCAGGGGACCATATGGAATGCCAGGGACTGAACCTGGGTCAGCCACATGCAAGGCAGGAGACTTACTCACTATCCCATCTCTCCAGCCCCGATATCATTTTCTTCAACAATCATAGAGTTCTATCCATGAACATTGTTTGGGAAAGAATTTGCTCGAACCTTTCACCTGAAGCCTATCTTAATTAGACATAGATGAACAGACAATCTATAAGATGGTGAAGTCTGTATCTCTCAATAAGTCACTAAGTTATTAGAATTATGCATTCTCAGGGGAAAAACTGATAATACAGTCTCTGTTGTTATTCTCTGTTCTCTCCCATTTTATTCCCTGATTCTTATTAACAAAATGCTCATCCCAGCATCTCAGTGTCCTAGTTCCCAATTGGTTTCACCCACTTTTCTTCTCTTTCATCACTCTTCTAACCCTTGTAGGCATCCTATGAAATGAACAGAGCTCTAAGAAGAATGTAACTAAGGCTAATATTTTCCACAATATTGCATAACCAACTTCATGTGTTATGCTTTGAAAAGTTATTTTTTCTTTCATCCTCATCCTAGAAAAAAATATTTCCCATTCAGACTTCATGAAAAACAGTAAGGAAGTCTCTCAAAAAATTAAAAACTGAGTTTCTGAGACTGAGTTTCCGAGATCTCCAAGCCTACTCGGATTGGAGTCGAGCATCCTCCACCCAGATCCTCCAAATTCCAGTAGGCGGGGGTCACACCCACCAACTGGCCCCCTGGCGCCGTGTAATCCCATCAGCGGCCAAGACTCTGAGACTATAAAAACCAGCTCCCGGAACCGCGCGGCCACATTCGCGGCCGTGCGACATCTTATTATGACACCTCATTCCTACTTTGACAAACTGGCAGGCTACCGAATGTAGCCTGCCCACATGGCAGAGTCTGGCAAACTCCCCGTGGCGTACCCAATATGCCAAATACCAGTAACAATGATGGGTCTCATTCTCCTAAAGAGCCTTGAATATAATCTCAGGGCTAGGATGAAGGAGACGTTACTGGGGCCTGCTCGAGGCAATCGACGAATAACAGGATGATCTGTGATCTGTGATCTGAGTTTCCATATGCACAGATTTCACTTCATGGGTCTATATAAGAGTCAAAAAATAATATGAAAAGCTAGTTGTACTCCATATTGACCAACATCACTGGAAGGGGCCCCCAGGTTCCTTAGTCCCAGCTGCAAGTCCTCCCCCTCACCCCACAAAAATAGATATTTTCACTCCTATGTTCAATGCAGCGCTATTGACAATAGCCAAGATAGAAACAACCCAGGTGTTCAAAAACCAGATAAGCATTAGAATTATATGCGATGTATATATGCACAGTGGAATACTAAGAAATAATATTAAGAATATTAAGGAAGGATGAAGTGCTACAGTTTTCTGCCATGTGGATAGAACTAGAAGTAATGGAATTAGAAGGCAAAATGAGCTTAAGAGAAAAAAAGAGAATGACAAATACTGAATGACCTCAGGTGGAAAATAAAGTTAGTGCGAGAACGTAAAAAATGCTAGTGAAAAATCATCATTAAAGGCTATTCCAGTAATAATAGAGAGAGGACATTTTCATATATTTAGCATTTATTGAGCTCTACTAGTTGTCACTGATTCCAGTCCTGAGGGTAAGTTGGTGAAGAAAACAGATACAACTTTTTGCTCTACAGGAACTTCCAGTGGAATATCCAGCAGGAGATAATCCAACTATTTGCTATTTTCTCTGAACCTAGAAGATCCATTTAAAAACCCATTTGCATTAGAAGCTGGTTAAGATTTTGAGGTGAATGTTTTATACCCATATTTTCCATAACACTAGAAAAAATAATTCTACATTTATAAACTTATCCTCTGATAAAAAGGTGTATGTTATTTTAGCAGTAGAAAGATGTATGGTTTATGAATGTTTTAAGATAAGAATTTTTTTTATCTCATTCATCACCTCTGTCATCACTGTATAATAAACACTTTAAGCACTGATAGATTTTTCTGATAGATTCCAACTTGAAAAGAGGTAATATATAATGGAAACATTTCCAAAAAAAGCAAGTAAATGCATGTTAAATGCATTTAAATATGTGTAGCCACTTCCCACCCCACCCCATATATGTGTATTTGGGATAAGGGGGCGGGGGGCCTCCTAAGTGGTTCTTAGGAGGTCCAGGGCCTCTAGGAGTGATTCTTGGCCAAACAGGCTGGAGCATCCATGGCATGCACCTTACCTGCTGTACTATCTAATGCTTCCAATCTCGATGTTTGGTTAAAAGTCTTGGATTTATCTACTTCTGCTATGATCTCTACATTCTTAGTATGATTGAAAATAGAGATTTTCTGGTTTTGGTCCCTTCACTCAACTTCATCGCCTCGACCGGTGGTCTCCAAAGTGGGCAATATCTGATGCCATATATGCTCACTAATGGCCATGATCCAAAGTCTCTGAAATAAATCAACAACAACATAGGACAATACACTGTAGAGATGCCTCTGGACCCAAGGTCACCATCCAGTTAAAAAACAAAAACAAAACCTAAATTAACAACAACAACAACAGAAAAGTGGGCAATATACAAAGTGGACAGTACATACCGTGAGCAGTATATACAGACAGTGGGCAATATAGAGGGCACAGGTGGCACAGGAGTAATCTGGGAGAGCGGTTGTGGTGTCTTGTATGGTTAGAGGTGGTTTCTATGTGTTTGTTTAAAGGAGGTAGATTTCTGGGGAGGGCCTTCTGACTTGTTTTTTCTGTTGTTGTTGTTGTTTTTGTTTTTTCTTCGAAAGAGGCGATAGGTCAGTTTGGAAACTCTGACCTAGATATTTAAGCAGATGTCCCTGGTCAGATCAATCATAATCAAATATAGTGTAAAAGAAAGTTGGTTAATCCTTGTGATCCCTCTTAATTATAAAAAATGAAATGTTTACTAAGCAGCACTAAAACCGAAAACATGAAAGGATTTTTGGTTTATTTTTGTTTTGTTATTGACCGCTCCTTTTTTTGACCTAACATGTTGAAAGTAAACTGATGAAACCTCACTTTCAAGTGGAACTTACTGGGGCTGAGGCAACAGGACAGTGGAGAGGTCGATTGTCTTGCCTGTGCTTGGCCCAGGTTTGATGCATAGCATATGGTCCTCTGAACCTGCCAGGAGTGATCTCTGAGAACAGAGCCAGAAGTAAGCCCTGTATACAACCAGGTGTGGCCCCAAAACCAAATAAATAAAGTGGAATTCATGAAGACACAATGCATCATGCACTAATCTATAAGGTGTGATTGTATTTCTTTTCAGGCAATAAAAACCTCCTCGGTACTTCTAAGTTACTTTGTATAAAAATAATTCTTAGATTGGAGCTAGAGAGACAGTACCGGAGCTAGGTCACTTGCCTTGCATGCGACTGACCCGTTATGGTCCACATCGCCAGGAGTAGTCCCAGAGCACAGAGATATGACTACATGCTCATGCTGTGTACCACTGGGTGTGGCCCAAGAAGGCATGAATAAGTCAATAATTCTTAAAGTAACAGTAATTTTTACATGATAAAAGTCTAATGAATTGCTTAGTCACAAATTGTCTTCAAGTAACTGTTCTATGTAATAAAACACTCATTTTAAGAAAATTATATTTTCCTGATCAACAGTTTGTTGGGGTTTAGTTTTCCTTCCTAGTACTATATGCCTTTCTTCTGAGATCAACTTGATTTATAACACTCAATTTTAGTACAGTTGCATGCCTCTTCAAATGTATCTGATCAACAATTTTAAATTGTAACTGCCTAATTTGGGTTTTTTCGTATTTTTCCAATACTGCAGACATCTTATAAGGGTTATCTAAGAGACTTGG